ATAGGGGTATTAGTCGTGCATATGTAGGTGCCTCTGCATGTACTTCCAGTGGGCAACTCTGAAGCCATATTTTGCTTTAGTCTTAGCCACTTTCATCATACCTCATTTATTGTCCTCTGTTGTGTTCCAAATATGAAAGGTTGACGCACATATAAAAAAAAAAACAAGAAGTAGTTTATTCCGGAGAATAATATGATACACTGTTGAGAACACCGACTAATATTATAAAAAGTTAATGGTCAACTCCCCGATGTTTACCCGTGAACTCACCGCAACGCGGGATGTGGCACAAAGCCGGTTTTCCGAGTGCGTACGCTCGGACAAAAATTGCCCGTAGACCACGCATACACGGGCTCGGGCTGCTGTCTACCTCCCCAAACGAGACGCTTGCCTGGGTTCCTCTCCGCCTGAGCGCAGAATCGACAGAGTTAACTGTAATTGTTAACTGCTCAGTATTTACCCGAGATCTCCCTACAAGGTGGGCTGTGGCACAAGGCCATTTTTTACGTGGGGTGTTCCGAGCCCGTAAGTTCACGGAAAAATTGCCTGTAGACCCTGTATACACTGGATTGTGTTGCTGTCTACCTCAGCAGAGGAGCTCTGCCCCTCGGTATATCCTCGTCTGGTTTCCTCTCTGCTAAAAGGCAGAGAGTTCGACGAGTTAACTGTAATCGTTAACTGCTCTCCCTCAGTAAGAGAGAGTGTCTTAGGCCAATCCATCTTGCGGGTGGTGTTAAGTTACTCCATAACATTCTTGCTCAATAATAATGCTTTTCTTTTTTCTTATTTTATTTTCTTCTACACGCAGTCACTCTTTTTGTCTTAGTAGATTTATTGCCTTGCTTGGAGTGAAAAAAAAAAAAAAAAGTGGAAACGCCTATGGCTACACTATTACTATTTCCATGGAAAATATTCAAAAATGTTCTCCACTCTTTAGCTCCAACGGTTAAGATATTTAAAACTCGGACACACCCTGTTACTTCCACGGAGTTGAATCATCCTCATTTACCCCTTATTCGAAAGATACGAAGAAAGTTCTATTCAGGAAAGGTTGTTTTCCTAATAATTTCTGGAACATACTCCACCATGAGCGCTTACCTGAAAACTACAGCCGTAACTTCTTCAAGTCAATCGTATATCTACCTTCCTTATTTTCATTTCCTGTCATGAAATGAAAGCAGTGATGGCGCCTACTCTCAGTCCATCGTAAAAATAGAGGATGTTGTTGAGAGCCATGATTTGTCTGTGCCCTGAAGGGAAACAGGATGTGGAATTAGTAAATACTAAATACTAACAGCTATAGTAAATTAAGTATAGGAGAAAAAGAAATTGAACATAGAATAAGCTGTACTGGAGGTAGTTTCATCCAACACCGCAAATTCATACGAAACGAGAAAACATCAACCTGAAAAGTCATGTTCTCTCTCTCTCTCTCTCTCTCACACACACACACACACACACACACACACACATATATATATATATATATATATATATATATATATATATATATATATATATATACTTCCTTTCTTCTTTTGGCCTGGATAGGATCTAGAGCCTCATTTGGCAACCTTCTAAAAGATAGTGTCACAATAAAATCAGACACCCTCCTGTGCTGTGGACAGGATGATAGTAGAAAAGGAACTATATTTTACCATCAATACATTTTTGAAGAAAAGCTATTACCATCAATACATTGAATTAAATGGATATCAAATGCGTCTTTGTGTTATTATCAACTTGATTTGGGTGTATTTATTTTAAAAAAAAGACAAAATGTGTCATGAAATAGACCCCCCCCACAACAAAACAAAACCAAAATGCTGGAAAGAGTAATAAAAGCGACTGGAATTGAGAAACCTGTTTTTCCTAAAATTATTGTAGAGACTTTCATGCAAGGTGCAAAACCCGGTCAGAAATGTTTAAGTTTTCAGTTGTATGTAAGACCGTTCTAAGATTAATGGTGAAAAAAAAAAGGCTTTGAATTAGTAAAGTCTGAAGATTTTGGTTAAAGATCATAGTTCTTTGGACATTGTGGACTGGCGCTACAGCATCCTAAACAAAGAACTGTACCAAATAACAGAAACCACATCACCTAAGGAATACCAACAGCAGCAACAACTAAAATGGATAGCACATGCAACTCGAGGAGAAAATAAAGACATAAGCAAGATGTTGACTCTCCGCGCCTTCAAACAATACTCGGTCTGATGCCGCTAATTCCCATATATATATTTTCCTTTACCCATCGCTTGATCTAATTATTTCAAGACGAGGTCGGCTGTGCTCGTTCTCTCGCGATTCGTGTTCAAACCCAAGTGTAGGCAGCGATATTTTATTCGTATATGATAAACTCTAAGAGTATACAGCTGCTTCCTAAGATCAATGGTGAAAAAAGGTTTTACAGCCTGATGGTCTTGGCAAAGATCATCCTTTTTTGAACTTTATGGACTGATACTACAGAACCACAAACAAAGAACTGTACCAAATAACAGAAACCACATCACTTAAGGAATTCCAACAGCAGCAACGCCTAAAATGGATAGCACATGTAACTCGAAGAGAAAATAATGACATAAGCAAGATGTTGACACTCCACACAACTTCAGACAAAAGGTTCGGAAGGAAACTTCCATGAAT